ATCGAAGCATAATTGAACACCATCGTCGATTCAAATATTGATACCACCGAATATTGAAGCATAATTGAACACCATCGTCGATACAAATATTGATACTAGGGAATATCAAACGATAATTGAACACCATCACCAATGCAGACACTGATGCCACCGAATATCGAAGCATAATTGAGCACAATCATTGATACAAATATTGATACCACAGAATATCAAAGCATAATTGAACACCATCGTCGGTTCAAATATTGATACCAACGAATATCAAACCATAATTGAGCACCATCACCATTGGAAATTGTGATACGACCGAATATCAGAGCATAATTGAACAGCATCATCGATGCAATTATTGGTCCCACCGAGTAATCAAGCATAATTGAGCAGCGTCATTGATGCAGATATTGATGCAACCGAATATCATATACAATTGAGTACTATCGTCGATGCAAGTATAGATACCATTGAATGTCAATGTCTGATTGAACACCATCGTCGATGCTAATAGTGATGCCACCGATTATTGAAGCATTATTGATCAACATCATCAATGCAGATACTGGTGCCACCAAATATCAAAGCATAATGCAGCGCCATCAGCGATGCAGATATTAGTTGCGTCTAATCTTAATTCGTGAGTGAGCACCGTCGCCGATAAAAATATTGATGCTATCTGAAGTGAATATCCGATTGATTACTATGGTTGATGCATAGTTTGGTAGAACCAGGTGTGAACGTCTAATTGAAGACTATCGAGCGCGAAAATATTAGTGGTAGTTGATTTGAAAGTCAGAGTAAACGTTCTCAAAATGTTAAATATCGAGGGTTTGTCGAGTTGTTATTAAATTGGAGGCTAGCATCAGTATAAGTTTTAGTGTGCGGTGTCAGCAGTATCATATTAAGCAGGATTGTCGATTGGAAGATGGACCGTATTTGATATTCTTTTTTGGTTTCTTTGTTAGTGACGATTTACATATGGGACCGATGATAGTTGCTGGCGAGAGATTTGCTCCTTAACTTTTTCCTCTCGGACTTCTGCTCTTGTGACTTTTTTCCGCTACCGACATTAGCTGTTGAACGACA